TAAGTTAAAAAAAAAATCTAGAAATCCCAACTCTGGGTTTTTCAAGTAAGTTGATACATATAGGAAGAAATTACTCAAAATTAACAGCAATTATAGAAAGCTTTTAAGCATTTACGAGGACCGTTACATGCTCCTAGAACATTTATTTATTAGAAGAGTTTCATTTTATCATTTTATTTCTAATGGCTACTATTCTAAAAAGTCCTGAGAAAATCAACAGAAATTATTTGGATGTTTGCCGATAGTTAAAGAATGGTATACTTTTTGACTTTGGGGGTGAGAAGAAAGAATGAAAATGTAACATAAATATTCTATATGCAACAGCTCTTCTGTGACAAGGTTCAATTATCAATTGCATTCTCAGAGAATTTTTGATACAATTAAAAGGACAGGAAGGAAAAGAAATGTCATTGTATTTATCGTAATAGTAAGTGACCAGTTTTGGATGAACTTAGCTCTAGGAAAAATAAAAGTTAAAAGCAACTAGCAAAAGATTATGCCAGATGGCATCTGTCATATTGTATTTAGGGTTATTTTAAAGAGATTGCCACCACTATGAAAACATTCCATTGACAGAGTTTTCCTAGACTGAATAAGAAATCCCAGTAGAACATATTCAGGACCCACTGTAAGTGAGTTTGAGATTCCCCTCATCCTTTAAATATGTAACTGGAATGTTCTGGTGGGGAAGAATACTATTTCATAACTATAGCATGCATTATAAACTCAAAAGCATAAGACTATTTTAGATGCTTGCTTACCTATATAACTTAAATATAAAGGGGGGGTATTTTCAGGTTTCAATACCATGATTGTTAAAGATTGTATGAAAAATAAATATCTAGCAATGGAATTCTAGTCTTATTGCCTGGATGATAGATAGGGACGTCAATGGAGGGGTTTGGTAGGTGGTAGAGTTGGGAAGAACTGGGCTGGCTTGCACAGCCCTGTGCCCTGAAAGATCAGAGGCATATAGATGCTGGAAGGCTAATGTATCTAGGTTAAACTGGATCTGGCAACAGTATGGTTAACGTGCGTGTGGTGTGCAGTGTGAGCTCAGCAGTTACTGGGCCAACTGTCTCGGTATTTCTGGGAATCCTGCCTATTCACAGTGCAGGGATTGTTCAATTGCTGCAAAATGTACAAAATGAATTTTACAAAAATGAATTGTAAGGAAGGCCCCATTACAACGATTTTACAGCAAAGATGTCAACATCAATTTTTCTTTCATGCATAGCTAATGATTAAAACAGCATATTCCATTTGCCTAAGACAATTCATTTCATATTGGCACATCAAAATATTGAAATACAAAGTTATCTTTACTCTACCCTC